TTCGTACGTTGCGCCTGAAAATCTAACGTTATATTTTAGAGCTAGTTATGGGTCCCGTACATATATATCAGCCCCTCTTTGGTCGTAAAAAGAAATGAACATGTTTAAGTAGGTACAAAAGCGTTTTTCCTTGGCAGAATATATTTAATGAGATGTGTACATAGGAATTCTCTGAAATAAAACACGTTGAGATTTTTTTTTTGGTTCTGACAAAAAACGAATCTGTGTTAGGCGTACAAAATACTTTACAAAAGTTAAAAGCGTGTTCACAGAGTCTGTATGATATACGCGTATAATGTTTTGGGTTTGATTCCCAAATGGGGTATATATTTGTACGAGTATGGCTATTATGGTTCTAGTTATTCGTATAGCAAGACTAATGCTGATACAAATGTCTTTGTTATCGGACAGTGTTAATAGACGTGAACTTATTGATATCACAAATAAAATCAAGTATTAGGTATTGTGAGGTTTAGGAATATAGGAACTCTGTTAATTTAATGCTCCTGTTCACGTGGTACGAAATGCTTGCAAGGCATTTCTGGTAGCTTTAATCTAAGTAAATTACTTACGTTATTATAGTATTGCTAAGTCAAAATCATATTATTTGGATTCGTCGAGATCACAGTTTGACAGCTTCATTAAAAACTATAGGTACTGTTAAATAATTTGATCAACTCGTCAAAAAAACGATTAAGAAGTCATCTTAAAATGTTACCACTTCAATGTACATTTACAGTATTAAAGCAATATGAGCTTTATATGTATGTATACCTAGACCATCGATTGGAGCTTAAGAATATTCAAATGATCGGGACATGACTAAAGACGAACTTTGCTAATCGTACCTACAAACACGCAAAGCCTTTCAATAGTGTTTGATCCGATCTTAGGTGTTACGTTAACTTGTCACTAAGCTCCAGTAAGTATGTAGTTACATTCATAAAGAATACATAAAGGTCACACCTTCTTCTGTTAGGGTTGGTAGAAAGTGTCCATATGATTCCAACTTACTTCATTAGTTTTATGCATCTTGGTCATACTCGGAGTACTCTGCACCTGGTCTCTTTTCAGTCTTGGTAGACTCTCATGTACGCTTCTTTAGGACAGCATTTATTTAGATTTCTTGCATAATCTGACTTTGTCCTTTTTTAATTTTACACTATCTTCTATGCCACATTATGGAGCCGTATAGGACAAAATGGGTTGCCTAGGCTCCGGATCAAAGAGCTGGAGTAGGTATGGGTTGGTTTTTAGTCAGCGTGAGTCTGACATACTCTCTCGCCTTAACCAAGGCGGGAGAGGTCATTGGTTGATTTTCGCCCCTTAAAAAGAAATATTCTATGCTACTTCTTCAACTTACCATTCCTCGCCCTATCAAAGTGAGCCTAAACTGATCAATATATAAAAAAGTAATTGAATGTAAATCCATATTCCGTGTACTCCATAATAATGGGGGCGAACATCTGGCAAAGATGGGATGTTTATTTATATCCAGACCGGAAGTAGTGTGCTACGAACCCACATCCGGTCTCTAGCAAATGGTGCGCGTGCGCATTGAATGCCAAATATGGTAACAAATGATAACAGAAAAAGTTAAAGTTGCTGCTGAAATATTTTAAGTTGCTAATGCGACTGCGTTGCGTTAAATCCCGGATAGAGCAAAAATTTAAAATCTCCCGCAGCCAGAACAAGAACTAGTTTAACTTTCCTCGTTTTCTTACCAGTAAATTCAATTATAATTACGAGTAGTTTCAGTAACACACCTACATATCTTTAAAAGTACGTTTCAACTGACCTAAATGAAATATCCACAAAACGTACTTTTTTTTTCTTCAGTAAAGAAATCTCGGAACAATTTTCAGCTCTAATTATCTCTCTTAATTAGGAAAATAGTTAGTGGTCTCAACATCTATAAAAAGTAAGAGGTATCCCTTTTTATTTTCGATTTTCGTATAAAAATGTACTGCATTTACTGGAATTCAAGAAATTACTGCCCATTTTTAAGATTGTACCTCTCCTTTGGTAAATTAAAATTTACTAGCGCCGTACTCGGGAATTCGGACCCTCGGCCCCATGTAAAGGGACGGACATTATTCAACTTCTAATGTCTAACAGAAGGCAGGTGCTATTTCTAATGACGGTCATTCTGTTTCGACGGCATTTGGCCAACTGACAATAGTTAGAGTGACCTAAAAGAGGCTCTGGAGTACATTGAAACAAGGGCCAAAATGCATGGTCGACGAGGAGGCTCAATTTGGACCTTTTTTTATAACAATGATGTTTATCAAGGAGTTCGCCCGCACTTTTGTTATAAGGGTGATATTCGAATTGATTTTTTTCTAATACCATTGAGGAGCACATGGCATCCTTGCATCTGCCGTTACAATGAAGCGCTTTTGAGTTTTTATGCCGCCAGGTATAATCTTTCTTCGATTGTGCCCGTATCCCGCCATTTATAAAAACTGTTTCGGTAATTATAGAGTCCTCCGTTGCGTTTTAGTTAACACGCGCCATATTACTCAAAATTGGAAGTTTTTTTAAAGCTGTGTATCGCCCCTCGTTGTTGTCTAAATTGGTTAATTAGGTAGCAATTCATTAAATTAACTTAATTTGATACCTCAATTACCTACGCCTATCTTAGTTCGTTTTAAGTAAGTTTACTTCGTCTACCATTTAAAGACTACAAGGTACATATTTTTAGATGAAAATGCAATGATTAGAAAAATATCCAACCCTTTTTTAAAGAAGGTCTTCGGTAGCACCTTCATTTAAACAGAATCTTAGAACGTTATAAGAGCCATCATAAATTAACGGCGCGGGCACGTGGCGGGCCTCAAAACCGAGCTTGGCCGTTATTATTCGCCTTTACTGAAAACCGAAGTCCAATAAAATATAATTTACATTTAAACTTCTCTGAAAAAAGCAATTCGGAGCTCTCCCCAAATTGTTAATTTTAATAATGCTTCCGAAAGGCTGCCTATTCCTGCTCTATCCCTCGCATTTGGAGATTATTGCCGCCATAAAAAAGTGCTGCACTACAATCTCTTTTAATGTCGGGAAAAGTAACAAATCGACCCTATCGCGTAGGTGCTAGGCGCCGCTAACGAGTGGAGCTGACAAAGTTAATTGGGAGCATACATTTTATGACCTGACTAACTCGTGCGGAGGGTAGGCTCTGTAAAATAGGGCACTCGCTAGCTCACGGCTGCGAGTCACGGGGTCCATTTTTGACACTACACGTGTCACACTAATTATGCAAATAATTTTAATGTAAAAACCGAGACACGTGGGCACTGAGCAGTGAGCGCCCCAACACCCTTAGAAAGGTTATGAAGTAAAGATTTCCTTAATAAACTTCGAGAAAAAACAGAGAGTACCTAAAGGTTACGCGGCAGTAACGATGCGTGACTAAGTTCCTACGAGGTAGTTTATATTATATATGTACATATGTATGTATTCTGCTATATTTTACCAAAAAGGTTCATAATTATGAAAGTGAGTTATGTAATTACATTTCTGAGAGACATTGAACTAGTGCAAATGATTTATACTTACAAGTATCGTTGTGAGCTCGCTATGGGGCGGTTCCAGAAAAGAGCTTTCATAAATGGCACCTACATATTTAAGAAGCTTTTATTTAACGATCTCTCCGCCATTTGGATGGCTTGTAAAACGACGTTATAATATTCCAAGAACTTGCAGCTAGCTTAAACTTAAATAACATAAATGTATATTTTGAAAAGATGAAATTTATTTCGAATATAATACAAACAAATGTTAAGAAAATTGTGAAGTATACTTGAGAAAGGCAGAGCTTGAAGTAAGCCTCGTTTGTTTTTAAAAATAATAATGAATGAAGGAGGGGTACAGTTGCTAAGTACAGTTGCTTACTCTTTAAGGTTTGAGACGCATACTCGTCAAATAAAAAAATAAACTTTATTTCGAAAAAATGAACTATAATAAAGATACTTACCACAGATGTTTATATTCTTACAGAAAACAAACAATTTTACTTCGAATTTTGGTAAATATTAGCAAATTATGCTAACAGGAATAATTTTAGCTGTGCAAACGACCAACTACCGACACCTGACATTTCAGATATGGAAGATAAAATATCTATCTTTGCTTACATTTTGGAAGTAATACGTTATCTACGTTCACAAAATAAATATTTAACATTTGCCCGCTCGGCACGGTACCTAATAGGCAAATAAAGATATTTTATCGATATCAATTCAAAGTAAAAAATAAACTTAGGCACATGTATCCCCATATTTAGTTTGTTCGTTCAACTTCGTTCCTCGTTTAGAAATTGTATCGATGAACATTATTAGTTTTATTTGGTTCATATCTATCATATTTTGGTCATCGCATAATTATGTTATTACGTAATTGTATGCAAATAGGTTTTGGTGTTTACAATAACTATATATTTAAAACGTCCGTTAATTTAAAATAAGGTGCAATGTGCACGTAATGCCATTATTTTAACTCTTTTTAAAAACAAGTTATGGAGTATTCATATTTTATTTTTGTAACGGTCGTGTCTTGCGACCGTCGATCGTAAAAATTATATGATTAAAATTATCACTTCGAATTGCATTAAATATAATTCAGCAGTTATTAGTAAGTTTATAGCTTGTCTACTATAATAACAATTAGTAAGTTTTATTAATAACAAATCGGTACCGGAAGGGTAGCAAGCGCAGGAGACACGCCGCTGCCTGTGCGCCGTTGCATAACATCGCATCCTGCTCACCCCGCCACATGTATGAGACACGCTTGTAAAAACAAACATATATTACAAAAAAACGCTGAATTGAACTCTAAATACTACGTCATTACAGTATGTAAACATCTTAAAAAAACCGTTATAAATCTAAAGAACTAGATGGATCATCTACTGCAATCAGACACGTCTGATTGAATTACAAAGAAAAAAATCTAGAAACAACCTTACACAGTCGCAGTAACAGAATACTTTTGTCCACCAGGCAAGTTTCGGCTATCCACTCGACCAACAACCATGAGCGCAACGAGCATGCTACCCTGCAATGGGCCAGGCGATCAATGGACGAGATTCGAGTCGAGATGCGTGAATTGGAAGAAAGTGTCAATAACTCCGTGCTCCTTCGTCAGCTTCATGTCATCCGAAACGAGGTATTTACCAATTTAATATCATAATTTATAATATGTTTTTTTTTTAATCCAGGCTTCAGCAAGTCATTTTTATATAAATTTTATATTCAACAGTATTTTTGATATGAAAATTAAAAGAGTTAAGTTCAAAATGGTTATAAATCATGCCAATTACTTTATTCATGATACACACAATACTTAGTGAACTCATGTTTAAGATATTGTCATGATTTCTTTAGCAGGTTTTCTTTAATAGTAAATCTAAAGATGCGGTTTTAATTCACGATGGGTCGTGTTTGCAACCCTGCATAACTTGTTTGTTTAGTTATCTTGGAAAGTACTTCATAATTAAAGTCAATTACAGGACATTAAATTATTACATCGTATAAAATTTTAAATAAGTATTAGATATACCCTGCGATATCTCTGGTGTCTATTCTCGTATTTGCGTTAGTACAGGATGTACAGAACTGATATTGTTTGATAAATATAGAATTGATAACAATTCGACCAACGCTATCAGGAAAGTGCCACCTTATTCCTTTTAACGATCCCCACATATGAGTAAAGAAAACGCCACTATAATATATGTTGTAACTAATTATATTGAAAATATCTTCAGAAGTGAGTTCTGAAGATATCAATAGATCTATTAATATCTTCAGAACTCACTTCTGAAGATATTCTATCTAGATGTTTCCATCGACACTTAAAACTGTTTGGTCGAGTTTTATCACACAACTATTTCATTCAAATAAAGCTTATAATTGAAAGTAAACGTTGCACAAAACTAAAAAGGGCACCGAATAAAAAGTCCTGCGACACTGACTTTTACAAACGAACAAACAAACATAGGTACTTTCATTTTTATCGGACATACGGAATACATTTCGTGACGTCCGCCTTCTTAAATAATAGACTCGTTCATTGAGGATTCTCTTTTTAACGCATTTTCTTTATTCACAGTTGAAACAAGCCTTAATGGAAACCTCAGATCTGGCCCAACTTGCCCGCACCCAAGAAGCTCGTATTGACAAATTGGACAGTGAGGTCGGCCGCATGAAGTACGAGGGACAACAGATGAGGACCGTGATCGCTGAACAACGCACTCACATCAATAAACTTTCGAAAGAGGTAAGTGATTTTTAAGATTGACAGGACACATAAGATGGCGCTCGAAACGGATTTAAGTTGACCAAATTGGTAATGTGCTAAAAAGGAACAAGCTAAAGCAATTAACAACTTGAAAATAATGACATAGTTCATAATGTTATCAGATACGAATTTGTTGGAGTTCAATTGTCTCTTAAGGAACTTTTATAACGATATGTACCAAAATATATCATCTAGGTACTGTTTGCTTACTCGATTTACATAGTTGTCGCTAGCGATTTTTGAACAAATTGTTTACAATAACCTAAATTACATTTATATAGTCATAAATTAACAAAACAGTAACTACGCGTATATCGTGAATAGCAATCGTCTAGATTCCAGGTTAATCAAGATGTATGGCATGAATAATAAATACTGTTTCTCCAAATAATTTGATTAAATCTGAAAAGAGACTTCTGCCTCTCGGAAGATATTAATAAAAAAAGCCAATCATCAAAGGATCCTTTTCCTCAACAAAGATATTGGACAGAAAATTTACTAGGAAATACCAATTTTGATTCCTACAACTTTTTATCATTCTGTTATTTTAATTAATTTGTATTTGAAAAAATTAAAAACTTTGTAGTTATATACATATACCTAGTTGTAGCAAGTTGTACCTAGGTATACCTAGGTATATGATACGGTTAAAAAATCAATCAATATATTTCTGATTTTACTTAAAATAACATGCAAACTGTTATTTAATCACGAGTATCTATGAAACGCATAACTAAAATTGAATTTATTTTGAAAAACATATTCATATAGATATTTATTTACTATCCAGCCAGTAAAAAAAACATCGAATCATTTTAACCGAAATATGAAAATAAAATACGTTGACAGTTTGGTGTAAAAGGCTACAGTTATACCTGATATTTATAATTTAATAATCAAAACAGCCAGAGCCGTACTTGAATTTGATATAAATTTTTGCGGCGATAACATTGCCTACCAGATTCATGTTATCTAAAATCTACCTTTATTAGAAGTGGTTAAGAAGGAATTAAGTGAAAGTTAGTTACTAAACTCAAGATACGAGACAATAAGGTCGTATTAATCAATTAATTAGTACTTGAACTTGACCACATGATCCTTATATACTACTTGTAGTTAAAGAGAGCATTTCGCTTTGACTTTAGGACGCTTGAAACTATGTCTATAAATCAGTGTACCGACTTGTGAATACCAACTTTAATGGGAATTCAAAGAGATACTCCACGGAACACGATACGTCAGTCATGAAGAAATTTCGGACATAGTAAAATATTTCTCTATGACAATACAGAAAGGAATGGAACAAGGAGTTATCAATGAAGCCAAATAGATAAATTACCTTGTAAAATATATTCAGCTTCGGGTTAAAAAATAGACAAAGGTACATATGGCACTCTTCCTCCTCTCAGAGGCAGAGATCGGTATAGTTACCTAATATAGAAATAACATCCATCTGAAACTTAAAGTTATTTCGAAAATATTCGAGCAAGTCTAGTAGCGTTCTAAAGTTAATTACTTAAAGAATTTGCTTCCGAGCGCATTTAAGGAAAATCCGCTGCTCATGAAGAGAAGTCTAGTGATGTAGATAAATTACGATACCAAGAAATTTCTGTTATATGAATAGCGCAATAATAATGTCATTCTACTATGATGCCGAGATCTCAAGTAATCAACCGAAAATGTAACGTCTCTATTATTTATTATTCAACCCTGGGATTGCTTACTAAGGTAGCTCCAGGTTTCTTTATTGAAATAACCCTCACGTAACCAAATTGAACCCATCAAGACGATTTGTAAGAGATTTGTTTCGGGTGTCTGTAGTTTTTTGTTACGTATTTATTTTATAGCAAAAATATGTGTGAAAGTTTTAAATAGTCGGTTAGGAGTAAATAGAGCACGATTACATCACACTGCATTTGTGGACGCAAACGGAAATGAAAAAGCGTGAAGCAGAAATGTACGAGAGGAAATTAGGCATCCGTGGCCGCACTGGGAAGGAAGCAGGCCGACTGCTTTAGTTCAGATGAAAAGCATTGTTGTGTGGGAACTTACGCTCCATATTGATCTCTGAAAACAAGTGGGAATTTCAATCTAGAAGATGAATTCGACACACTTTGAGGCTTGCGCCAAGGGAAACTTCGAGCCGGTACGATAAAGGAAGCATACTGGCGAAGACAATATCAATTTGTGTGAGAGCAGACACCATGATGTAATGAACTACCTAGTGTCAGAACTCAATATTGTCACACCTTCTGCACAAACTACGTGAATGGGTTATGGCCCGGGTGGGCGACTTTGTTGTTATGGAGGTAGAAACAGAGTTATTATGTCTGCAGTGACAATGTGATCTAGCTCGTGTATACAATTGGACCGAGCTTAGCTTTGGTTTGTTCTACGTGCACAATAATTAACTTTGTACCAGACATACATATGCTTTGATAAACAAATATAGCTACATGTGAAATTCGTATTAATTTTCATTCGTGGCTCAAAGTAATATGTATATTAAGTTTGAAAGCATTGTAATAATACCTACATAAACTTTGTATTGTGTAAGAAATCGGCACTTGAGCGAACAACGAAATTCAATGTCGGAGTTGACACCTAGCGACGAAGCTCCCTCACACATTCATGCCTTTTTGTGGAACGTATTTCGAGCAATGCTCTGGCAATTCCCAAATTATAATCTCATTATAGGTATTATGGCCGTAAACTGAAAAGCTTAACATTGCCTCTGCATGTTTTTATTTCATCGCTAACCTTATTAAGTTTCCATAACAAAAGCTTCAGTCTGCTACACCAGCTCATAACTAAGTTTACGGGATGTACCAACACACAAAAAGGTATTGTTAACGGAACATGTAAAAATATTACCTTCTCTTTACTTATGAAGTTTCTTTGAATAATTCCTAATTTACTTTTTTTTGTACCAGTACGTTAGTAGCGCAATTTTCCCTAAATTTATCGTTGGCCATGATGATTCACGGTCCGGTTGGCCGGGATTAGGGCCTCACATTATGTAACCGAGGGTTGTGAGCATTGTAAAAGATTCCTTTCCGTATTTGTCGATTGTTGATTCGACGGTGTTTGTTCCATTTGCTCCGTAATCATGTTAGTGGCAGTTGAAAGCACACAAATTTAAGTAAAAGCTTTTTAGATGAACACTGCTGTCGGATTTAATCTGATGTGCATTGGTTAGTTTCCATCAGCAGTAGACGTCAAACTGTAACACTCAAGCGGTGCACGGGGGTGGGAGCTAAAAGCCGATCACACCCTCCCCAAGCCATGTCTCCATCTCAATACCAAAACATCGAATGGACACAAATAATTTTATTTGCAAGTAGTTGTTAATTATCCACTAAGTGTTCAGTATGAATTTCGAAGCTTCGTTACACTCTTCCGTTTTCTAAATGAAACGATTAATAAAATGTAAATTAATAATGTAATGCGGTAGTCCGCTTGATTAATTAGCATTGGGGGTTCAAACTGTATAACCAAGACGTAAGGTCGTTATTGGTAGGACAGGACTAATAACAGGTGGTAGGTATGTTCACGGTCGGTGATTATAACCGCCAACTGGCGACCGTTGCGCCCACCACTTTTTACTGGTCGATATGCTTTTGAATTTAGAATATAGTTACGGGAGTTGCCCGCGTGGAAAAAGTTCACATAACATAAACAGTAGAGTAATGGCTCGCGGCATATTTGTTGAGGCTTATGCCACGACCGCCATATTATGTAATTTCACATGGCATTAACAGGACCACTTGCAATATTTAATTTAACCTAATTTTATAACCACATTACAGAAGCTAAGTTATCTGTACATATCTGCTGGGCAATATTTTATGTGGAACGTAATTTAAGCTGCCTGTAAACGTTTAATGGCTACTTTTCATGAAATAAATTCACCGTGCTGTTAAATAAACTATTCGTTCAAAGGTTTTTCAGTAACTAGTTGGCTAGAGTTCTAGTGATGTTTGTAATTGACCTTAGTACAAATATAACTCTTGTTAGCAGTTTTGGGTATGCATATAAAATAATGGTAATATATGACAACATATCGAAGTACTTTATTCTTATTTAATAAGTACATTTTAAACAAACACAATTAGATTTTAATTTCAATTCAATTAGTAAAGATGTTCGAGATAATATGTACGTAGGCGGGTACTTATTCAAACCTATTTAAATATTCACATGGACTTTCCCTGCTCAGGCTCGAAATCGTACGAAAGGAAAGTTTTTAAGTCGTGACAGAAGAAAAGTTGGCAACATTTTGTTAAAACAATTTTAAAGTATATTGTAATATTTATCTGGATATAATAGGACTATAGTTAAATTTAATTATATCGTAAAAATAAAGTATCTGAGTAAATGTCTTTTATGTTTGGTTATAGGATCTTTTATTCGAATACAAAATGGTTTTGATGTTTTGGTCTAGTTCTTACAGCCTTACTGTAATGTTGGCGTGCTAATTACTCAGAATTGTTATAAGCATACGTGCCAGTAGTGAGGGTGGATGGCTGGCAAGCAGCCAACGTGAAAGGCCCGAAGATAAGTGATGAGATGGCACGTAATGGCCTGTGCGCTGTGATTACATCTTGAAACTCGGGCCGACCATTGAGAGGTGCCGTCGCAACACTCGTTACGCGGACGTCTGAAACATTTTGTTGTGAGACCCTCAAATTGTACAAAAAATTCAAAAGAAACTGCTTATTTTGCAAGAGTGGGCATGTAGATATTTAAGCTAGTTTTGCAGTTTTATGCTTGTGAAGAAAGACATATCTTGTTAGATATTTTTTGTGTTGTTGTGACATTTCTTGTAATAGGCATCAAAGCAATTTTAGGGATCAGAATGAGTCGTACAAAAATATTGTATTTAGAATTATCAAAGGCTGCTTGTTTCAATATTTGCCCAATAATTTACATTTATTTTCAATTTCAAACAAACCATGCAAACTGTATTCAAAGAATCC